TATGCGGGGTACAGATTCAGCGAATGCCTGGCTTCCATCACCCCATGCCACGGTCCCAAGTCCCATACTGCGTACCCATGCATGGGCATGCCTCCCATCAGCTGGCACAAGCCGAACGGTGCAGGGGACAAGACACCATAAGTGGTTCATCGCTTCAGTGGGCGCATGAATTCGCATCACGAACATCTCCGTGTGGCGGAGACTGCCGATGTTTGTCGTGTCAGGCGAACAGGTGTCTTTTTTTGATGCATATTGTCTGAGCCGCACCGGATCACGACGCTGTGGCCGAAGACGTGTCGCATTCGATCCAACAGGCTGGAAAATAATCGATTTTCGTCAATAGGCAGGCCTCCCGAGCAGCTGGTCGTGGGCAAGTTCAGAACTTCAGCCACAATCTGTCTCGGGACATAGCCACCTTGTGTGGCCTGGGCTTTGAGGCGCGATTGGCGAACTCGTACTGCAGTGCTGGTGTTCCGTTCCAAGGTCACCCGGCCAATCATGGCTCTCGCGTGGCATTGTACCGGAGTGGTCTCCGACACACCAGGACCGAAGCGGCAAGGCCTTCCGGCGCATGTGGGCCCCGGGTTTGAGGAGGTGGGAGATGGAGCTCGGGAGTCGCTGGGAGGAGGGAGAAGGGAGGCGGTGAGGAATTCGGTCGGGTGCCGAGACGGTCTAGACGGACGGACGGCCGGCGGACGCTGCATTTCTGCAATGGCTGGACGAGGTTGAGTCTCTGCGTTGGCTCAGCATGCGACGTGGACCAGCTCGACCGAATGAATTGGTGATGCCACAGCGAATGAGCATATCCGGGCGGTGAAGATGGGTTGATTCTGCTCCCCCTCCTCCAACTTCCCTCTGCGTTGCTTGTGATGCTTGTAAGCAGGGTACCTGGTTGCATTACTGCATCAACCTTCCGGTGCCAGATACAGTCGAATCGATTCCTTTGCCATCGACCGACCCCCTGAAAATGGGGTTTAGTTGGACAGCCGATGAGGTACTCGCACGCTTGCGCAACCACTTCCCCAGGGCTAGATTCGAAAGCTGTGGTATGTCCGCCCCGCTGCGTTACAAGCAAAAGAGGGTGCAGATCTGTCGCGCCTTTCAGGGGAAACTCCAGGTGGGCTGCAATAGAGGTTAGGCTGTTGCAGGATTTCAAGCATACCATCTTTCAAGCACACAGCGCCTTGATGCATGGTGGCTGTCGTTAGTACCCTCCTGCCCGAGATAAGAGGGGCATCATAGTGCCTGTCAGTTAAGCAGATAACGCCGCAATAGGTAACGTAGGGATCGAGTACTAGTAAGCGGCTGGGTGTCTTGATATGGGCTACGATGAGGGGGAAAGCAAGGTAGATTGGGCCCGAACAAGACGCCTGACACATTTGGCAAGTCGTTCGGTGGCCTGCGGGTCATGGCGAAGCCACCGTCGCAGGAGGCCATTTCGAACAGACGCTTGGCGCGAAGCTATCGACGCCGACCGTAGGGCTCGAGCATGTGGTTGTCGACGGTGCTTGTGGCCGCTTGTCAGCTGCCATCCGGTCTCTGTCCTTGTCTCTGCAACGAGGGGCCCGGGCTTATTCGCACGAGACTCTGCATGCAAGTCGTTGGCTCACGATGGAGCCAGCAGGACCACACTTTGTTGGGGGCCTTTGGACGATATTGTGTGACTGTGAGTGCTTGCTGGCGCTAGGCTGTCAGCTTCTCACCCCTCCGCATTCTCGACTCTCACCCTGCGTCTCGGCGTCGGTCCACTAACCCGAGGAAGTCAGAATCAAATGGAGAAGATAGGGGGACCGTTGCAGTGATCCCAAACGCGACTTGGACACGTAAAGCCGGAGGGGAGTGCATTCGATTGGGAATGAAAAGGCATACACATGAAACCGTAACGTGGGGAACGATCTACTTCAGGGGACGGGAGTAGCGATTAGTGCGTGAGCATATTGCCAGCAGGGGGCATTTCCCTCCAGTGAAGTCGAACACAAGCTCGTTCCCTGCCACAGCATGGCTACACCCTCTTGTCAATTGCGGGAAGGGAGCGATCAGTCATGCGAACCCGAAACTTTTGACTTTTTTTTGGCGGGTGGCAGGATTGCGCCTGTAGGCTGTTGGCAGCATTGAGACAGAGTCCGTGTCCTGCGTGTTGCCGGAGATCATCTCCAGCGTAGGGCAGGGTAACCGGTTATGGGAAAGGCATGAGGCCCATATCTCGACGTTTGGCTGTGATTGATAGACGGCAAGGGTTGATTGGCCTGGACGTTTAACTGACTGTTGAGCTCGGGGCTAGGATTGCGGCGAGGGCTTTGTGTCTGATCGAGGATTGGATGAGATTCCCGCCTTGTGGAGGAACTCCGTGTACTCGAAAAGTCTGTTTGGGATTTCAGTGGGAGGCGAGTAGGTGAAGCCACACGATGAACGGCTCCTTCTCCCCTTTCAGGCAAGCCAAGGTGCGCCAGGAAATCCAATGTGTTGCTGATACCCCGAAAGCCCGACAAAGGAGCAAACCCCCCAACTAGAACGTGAGGCTCTAGGTTCGTGGGGTTGGAAGACATTTCCTGGCTGGACTGGGCTGGAGGTCGCCCAAGTCTTTGAAGTGAACAGGGAGCCACTGCTGAGTATGCCAACAGGCCGCTAGAGTGTAAAACGATTGACCGTGGTTGGCTGACGGCCCTCGTGTTCCGCTAGCTGACGGTTAAGCTGGTGGCAGGACGCAAAACCATTAGAGAATGTCTCAGAGGCCGAAAAAGAGGGCGCTGTGTATGTTTGTCGTTTCATGAGCAGCACCAGACGCTTGACCCGTTGCGGCCTTCTTTTGCTGTTGAGCTGTTGATGCGAAATGGGAAACAACATTGGTGATGATTTCGAAACCAAGGAATCGCCCAGGCGGGATTGGCTATGCTGTGCCGCAACCTGCGGGCGTGGTCTCACTTTGTTCAGACTGTTCAGGCTTTTGCCAGCGCGGGCGTTGGCCTTTGGAGCAACTCTGTGGATGCCAAAGCTGGAGGCGTTCATCGTTGTCCATGTGGACTTTCTTGAGGGTGGGCGGCATCATGTAGGCCGTAATGTACACCGGAGCAGCACTGGTTGCAGAACAGTAGCTGGCTGTGGCTTTATTTGATGATACTTTCCACCCGCAGGTAAATCATTGAGTGTACGGAGTACACCAGCAGATTCAAGGTTCAAAAAGGGCGTACGTGTGTTGATCCCTTCTGGTGCAGTGATAAGATTGGCAAAGCGAGCATGATTGCAGGCGAGTAGCAGGGGCGTCTCCGAATCAGAGCAGCATAGCCAAGCCTGAACAACAGCCCAACAGCGGTAAATCGTGACACAGCAGAGCGGTAGGGGACGCGAGATGAGTCACGGAGGCGTAAGGTCAACTTGTTTCCAGAGCCTAAGATTCTAGACAGACGGCGAGAAGCAGGGCGGCGGCGAATCGGCGCCAGGTCAAGAAAGATCGGTCACGACGCGGGCCGGTTCTCATCGGTCGGGAAGTGCGCGGCGCGGCATGCTAACACTCGATAGACGTGGTCGAAATCATGTCTCGTTCAGGTAAGGCGAGGCAAGGCCCGTCGATACGCTGTTTCAGAGGGGGAGCCGAAAATAAAGAATTGCGGAGATTACACATAGACGCCCAGTAGTTCGAGGTGGACGAGTTGAAGGGTCGTCAGTCCCCCAGACGGAAGCGAGTTCGAGTTCTCCGGAGGGCCTTGTTTCTTGGCCATGTTCGTGAATCGATTGGTAGAGAAGGCCAGAGAAAGCTGCCCATCTCTTGTTTCATCTGCGTACTCGAGGTAGAACGCGGCCACCAATGAACCGCGCGCATAGATTGTGTCACTTTCAGGTCTTTTGGGGTAGGTAAATGACAGTATCCGTAGACCCCGCTGCAGCAGTCCACGTTAGTGACAGCGGAAAGCAAGCTGACGTGCGTTGGAAGTACCTTGGCTCGCGTGCCCGAGTCTGTTCTGCTATGCTTTGCTGCAAGGTAGTATGCCACTACTCCCGTATGCGTATTCGTGGTTGATTCTTTTTTGGTGGTGAGCTGGCGGCTGAGGATTCGTTCATTTGATCCAGTCACATTTCATCTCTGGCTCCCACCGTCAGCGTCAGGCGTCAGGCAAGGGCTGCAACAAGAGGCAAGAGGCAAGGGAGGGCGACTCCAGATGAAGGCACGGATACGTATCCGTATCGTACTTGCTCCTTCCGCCTCATAGCAGCCAATGAGGATGTCCAAGCTACGTGAGGTGCAGGCGCCAGCTCACTTGACTGACAGATGGAGAAGCAGCGAATGGCTGGGGGTGGGTCCGCTTCTGTGCCTCCCTTTCCTTCTTCTCCCGGGTACGAGGTGCACTTTCCTCGATAAAAAGGTACTTGGAAGTGTGCCTCCCAAGTGAACAGGAATAGGTAAGCACTCAGGTACCTACCTGTCCATCCGTACGGAGTGCCTTCCTCCAGATACCTTAATCTTACTGGCGAGTCGCCGCTGGCCTTCGTACGTGCGCATGTTTTGCTGCAGTCTCTCGTCTGGGGCTCTGGGTGGACAAGAAAAGCTGCTGCTGCTGCTTGTTTTGGGAGACATGGGCCCTTGCTTGTGGGATCGTGTCTTGGTGTTTCTACAACCACTGGCTGAAATTGGATCGCTTCTGGCGTGCAGCGGTACTGGGTTGCGAGGTGAGAGGGGCCTTGAAGTCTTGAACCGAGCTGTACTGGCCAGTCAACGGGCTTCGTGAGACACTCCCAAATGAAGGTCGGCCTATTACACAATGGTTCGCGGCTCGGTTGTTGTCGTTCTTGTTCGTCGCCGCCGTCAAGGACCGGCGGATCCAATCCTGCATCGTGCTCCCGTCCGTAACCCGGCCCAGCGTTGCGCGTGTACTTCGTACCTTGATTTGGGCCGTGGTCTTGGTCATGGTCTTGATGAGTGGTCTCAATCTTACTTTTGGGTCCTGGGTGTTGGGATTTGGGCTTGCAAAAGTAAATATATCGATCTCATCCCTCATCTCGGCGCCTCTAGCAGCACTATATTTCATCCCTGTGTCCTCCTCCCTCTTGAGTCTTGAATCTTGAGTCTTGATCTGCTCGGACGTGATTCTCCTTTTTCTTTATTTCCAAATCAACTTGCATCATCACCGGCATTCGAGGGCTGTTGTATTGAATACGACAGTTTGTCATTAGTCCTCTCCGCATCCAATAGCACCACCGCCGGGCTTCACCACCATCCATCAACCAGCGAAAGCAGGGAGACGGAGCAGAGACAGCACCGACTCGGAGGTACTCCGGAAGCTACCGATCTACCAACGCAAAACGCGTCTCTTTCCCCCGATTTCATCTTCAACAACAGCCGGCCTGGTTAATACGAATCGGATCTCTTCAATACTTGTTTTTTCCTCTAGTTGCTGGGCTTCTTGTTTACCATTCTGTTTACTTTCCTCGGATTTCTTGTTTACTCTCAAATATTGAACCCCTCCGCTGCTGGTCATCGCGTCTCCGAGAGGTACATCCCCAATTTGCTCGTCGCTCCTTCCCCCTCGAGCCCCTCCAACGACTTTCCCATTCCAGTGGTTCTGTCGCCCCACAGCTGCCAGTAGCGCCTTCCAACTGTGCACCACCACGGAATACTTCGTACACACTCTCACACACAGACCAAGCGTCGTTCCTGCCCGCTCCCGCGCTCTCATCCCATCACATCGCCGCCAGCGCCTTTCCGTCTGCCGACTTGCCAAGGCTTTCCTCCAGATAATACCAATTTTGATCCCTTTGGTCACGGCCACCATCCGTCGTCTCCATCACCAAGAATTTTGGAACTGGAACTGGAACCGAATACTCCTTATTGGATCTATTGAATCTTGCTTGGATCGTCATTTTCCGTCTCGTCCCTGTCGTCGTCGTCGTCAGATATTTCGCCCACACGAGTCTGAATTAAAAGGCAGACACCAGCCTGCATTCTTTCAGCCATCAACCCAACCACCAGCCATCAAGCAATCAAATAATCAATCACCCACACTCTCTTCACCATCGACACTTTAACCCTCGTGTTCAATTCCGCCTTCGATTCTGCCCGAAAGCCTCGAACCCTTGGACAAGCACCTGCTGCATGCTGCATCATAGCGTGTGTGGTTCCCAATCAATCTCATCCACCCAATCCAGTCGACCCCAACTGCCCAACTTGGACGTCCCCTGCTTGCGGCTTTCCATTCGCAGAAAGACAACCTGCACCGCCTCGCACCCAACTGCCACCGGACACACTGCCGACACTTTGCACGGTCGAGAACTTTGAGGAGGCATCAAGTACCCGCTACCTCCTTCTCCGCGCAATTTTGACCCGTCGGCCCACGTACCCCATACTCTCCACCGCATCGCCCTGAGAAGTGGAAAGCGGATTCGACTTCGGAAAAGTGCATTGCCAAAGCCTCGCTCACTATACAACTTTGACCTTGCACACGGTTCACGTTGTGGCCAACCTTGGACGTTACCGAACCTTCTCTACGGGATACGTTATACGTTAGGGGACACTGCTTGACAACTGCCCTGTCGTCATTTCCATCTTCCCGGCACTCTGGTCCAGTAGAACAGTTCTCTGGACACATCGCTTGTTGCATCGAGAGACTCCATTTCTAGGACCATCCCGATTCCTAAACACCTTGACGTCGGTACCTTGCTGCCCTGTAACGGCAATATCGACTTAATTCATCTGTCAGCGACACTTTGCGCCGGACAAACCTTCGAGTCTGGTCTCTCGCTCCGAGTTGAAAGGAGTGTCAATCATTTCCCCGTCTTCGACCGCCGCTCTCACGTTTTCGGACTTCGGATCCCGGCCGAACAAAGCACACTGTTGCTGCTGACCAGCTGCTCTGCTCTGCTGCACACCCGACTGCATCGCAACCGCCCCGCGGCCCCGAGAACAATTAATCAACAATCGACATTCGTCTTACACCGTCCGCTGGCTCGGAAGCTCTGGACTCGACCGCCCTCGTCGTTGCCAATAATTTCGATCCTCAAACGGATCATCGCCGCCCTGCCGCTTCTACCGCCTTCAGGTAGAGCAAACTAATACCGATACCACACGGATACTCCATCCCACTCTCTCATCCCGCTCGCTGCCGAGTAGCCTTGGACTCACGACGCACGACCCAACCGTCAATCGTCGCTCGATTAATCAATCCGATCCAACTCAAATCGCCGACCGTTGGCTCAATCTGTCCTAGACAGTGCTTGACGCATCAAGCTCATTTCACGACGAGACGAGGAAATCACATCGCCGTCTTGACCCTTTCTCCTAAACTCAAACCCAAAAAACCACAGGCCGCAATAATCCCTGACTCGCCCCCGGGTCGATTTACTTGACGCCGTCACCTCCTCACCCGCAACTCTTCCAAGCGCTTGGCAAACTCGACTCGGCTCTCAGCGTCCGTTTGCAGAACCTTGAAAAGTTGTCCTATTCCTCCATTCGTCATAGGCCACCGGGCATTTTCCAGAAGTTTGGGTTTTGGTCTGTTCACTGCCATTGTCGTCGCCTTGAACAATCGCAAAAGTCATTAGCCTCCAGACTCCAACTTCTCTGTTTCCAGCATCCAGGAAATCCACTTGACCAGCGCCCTTTCGTCCTTCTTTGCCGACGTCGTTGGCGTCTACCATTCTACTACATTCACACATCGCCACCTGCCGGATACTCGCCGACATCGCCGAAATCGTTTTCTATTCCGCTATACCAGCACATTCACAATCATTGCAACAATACCCACAACACCGCAGCTAGACCAATCTCTCCGTTGATACCGACGAGATTTACTTGTTTCCGTGTCCCATCGACCGCAGCATCTTTGCACCGCCAAGGCCACTTGCGAGAACCTCGCAAGCAACAATATTACAATCTTTCGTCTGGGCAGACTCGGACCCTACGCGAACTCACTCTCCAAGAGGGTAGCGCCACAGTCCCATCTCTGATTTGAAGGTTAAATACAGCAGCACGAGAAGCAAACCCACCGACTTGCAGCCGCTCGCACCGAGTCTGCAACCCGCGAGAGTCTAGAGATCCAGACCCCTGCCGGCCAGTCCGCTTACCCCCCCTGCGACCTCGCTTCTTTTGGACAACTTTCTTGTCCAGTTCTGCTGGTGGTTTATCGACACACCTCTTTTCCATTCGGAGCATCGTCCACGCCTCCCTAACCACCCCCTGCCACCCAAACCCAAGCACGCCCCTCCCCCCTGTTGGCCTTCACACCCCTGCACCCCTGGGATCTACAGCATTCCAGCCCACCCCAAGCATCCAAGCCCCCCCAGCAGGCACTTCCGTCGGCGTCCTGCTGAGACTCCCCTAAAAAACTAACCCCCTACTACGCTAGCACTTGACTAGCGACCCCCTGACAACCTGCCCACTCAGCCTCGTGGACCGCACGTCACCCACTGACGACTGGCTGTTCCGCATCCCTCTCTACCAGGCTCATCCCCAGAGGCTGGCCCCAGCAATTGCGACGAGGCACTCGAACTTCGCCGCACACCACGCTCGTACCCTCCTTTTCGTCTGAATATATCAGCCCAGCCTGCCCTTCTACCATTCTCTCTACTCTCCTCTTATTTCGTCACTCTTCAACGAACTTCACCAACCAAACAACAAAAGGAACACTCCTTCTACACCAAGGAGCCCTTGACTGTTACTACGACTCCACTTGGAATCATCATCTCCATCTCCATCCCTCACTACCAACCACCTCACCCTCAACCACATTACACATACACAATGGAGTCAAGGTCACATCTCAGCTTGGCCGAGCTCAACGCCGCCGCCCTCGACCACTTTGTCTACCAACCCGTCAGCAAGTCCATGATCTCGTACTTGGCCGGTGCCGCCTACAATGTCATCTCATGCGACAGTGCTCTGATGCCTCCCGCCTCCGCAGAGGCCCAACGTCAACAGCAGCTTCCCCCGACGCCACCCAGGACACCGGAGCCCCGCGCCGTTCGCACCGAAGACGCCGATTTGCCTACCCTCGAGGCCTTCATCACACAACTCGTTGTTTCCTCCAACGTTCAGGTTCCTACTCTGATGTCTACCCTGGTCTACCTCACCAGACTCAAGTCCCGCCTTCAGCCCATGGCCCGCGGTCTTCGATGCACAACACACCGCATCTTCCTTGCCGCCCTCATCCTTACCGCCAAGTACCTCAACGACAGCTCGCCCAAGAACAAGCACTGGGCCACCTACAGCCACGTCAACAATGATTTCTCCAACTTTGGCTTCAGCAGAACGGAAGTCAACCTGATGGAGAAGCAGCTTCTCTTCCTCCTCGACTGGGAGCTCAGAATCACTGAGGAGGATCTCTACCGCGAGCTTGACCCCTTCCTGGCTCCCATCCGCGCCGAGATCGAGGCCAAGCATGCTCGCCGCATCGCACGCCGCCGCAAGCAAGAGGAGGAGATGCGCCGCAGACACGAGGAGATGATGTACAACACCTACCCCAGCCCCCCGTCATCGCGTGCGAGCTCCCGCTCCCGCCTGGAATCGCCCGACCACGCCCGCACTTACAGCGGATCCTCCATCACCCCTCCCGGTCTGTGCTACAGCAGCAGCTATGGCAGCTCCGTCAGCTCCTACGCTCCTTCAGTGGCATCGAGCCGGTCTCAATCGCGTGCCACCACGCCTCTTGACAACCCCGCCGACGAGCCGTACATGTATGTCCCCAACGGTAGCTTGTACGAGTCGCCAGTGGAGGTGCACATTGAGCAGCCTGCATCAACGCTTCCGAAGCGCAAGCCTCTTTTGCCCTACGAAATCAGCACCGAGGAGCTCCGCGACATGCAAGATGGCACAAAGGCCAAGAGAGCCCGCATGGGCCGCGGGATGTGGGGCCGCGTCTTCGGCGGCGCCGTGACTGTGCGGTAAACCTGCTGCGCAACACAATTTTCACCTTTGTCACAGCCTCCATTTTTACAACTTTTCTCACGTTTTGAGCCACCCCCCAAAAAAGCATGGTGTTGGATTGTGCTATAGAGACATCCGGGGGAACAGACTTGATTTCACCATCTTTTTTCCTTTTTCTTTTATCCGAAGGCGTTGGTAATGGACTGGTGGTACATGGACTACGAATCGAGGATAGAGCATCCTCGGGCATTTGCATATATGGAACGGTGTTGGGCGGACATTTATGAACATGATTTTTCTCTTCTTCTTTGGGTCATTTGACGTCCTCGCATGGTAGAGGGTCGTCGTGTGGGATTAGGATTGGGGGAACTGGCACGCCTCGGCTTAGACAGTCTGGCACATACTTTAGCCTAGCAGCAGTACGCGGGTCACTCATCGAAGTCGCGAATGCCGCACTTGATACCCCTACAAATGAAAGCAACGGGCCCTGGCCCGCTTCCAAACAATTATCTCGAGTTCCCGGCTCTTTGGTTATCGTGAACGGTGAAGTCGACTCCTGCTTGCAGCTCGGGCCAGAGTTTGAGAGAGTCCGGAATCACGGTCTACCTAGAACGATTGGTTGGCGCTAGTGAGAAAAATTTATTCTTGTATGGTACCGGTATGTCTTGATGAGAACCCCTCGTGACGGGTGAATGCAGCCAGCCAGCCAGCCAAACCGGCGGTGTGGGGGTGGGTGGTGGTGGTGAACCGTGAGCAGCCCAGAGGGAAGGAATTCGCATTCAGCGGACAATGCGAGACATTTGATCCCGTAAAGACAATTGTGGGGGGGATTACCTAGAGGCGATGCTACGCTGCCGGTCATTTCGCCGTGTTCTCATGTCTGCCCGCGGCGTACTCACGGGATCGCATGCAGTTGGGATTGCTCCGATACTTTTTTTTTTTGTTCCTGTTGGTGATGTAGTCTTTTACTCTGCGGTAGTGTAGAGTATTTCTTGTTTTTTGTTACTCTTCACGATGACGGGTCATCTCTGGAAGGGTAAAAATTCTTGATTTTGCATGACGTGCCATGACTTCTTGTAGAAGCTTATCTTTTACCCCATACTGGATTGTCAATACCTATAGGCTTTTCTAGGTTGACAGTTTGAGGGGACTCTAGTCATGAACATGCACCAGACGACGTCAGTACGCAGGACAGGCAGGGCAAATCAGCGTGCGCAGTATGGGGGCATGAATCGGACGAGAGTTTTTTTTCTTTTCTACTGCGTATGCTGCAACCTTGTATCGGTGTGAGTGTGTCTGCGTTGGTTCTTCCCCTTCCAAAGGATGCGGTCAGGACTCGGAGAATAGAAAAAACCTTGAACGCCCCCAAGGATCGAAAGAGTTGCAATCGTAACGGTCTTTTTCGTCACACCCGATTCTAAGGCACCTGCACGATTTCGGCATCTAATGGTACCCGGATATCCGTATTTGGGATTGAAGGAACCCGGGGGAGGGAATAAGTGAGACCCTATGGGATTTCCCGACGATGAATGCGGGTGTTGGGAGGCCGGGTACGGGGTTTTATTACGGGGGTGATGACTTCCAAGGTTGGCTGAACGGACGGAGACGGACTGGAGGGGGGACGTTTACGTGCGGTAGTGGCTTCGGAAGGAGATGTGTGCCGCAAGCCCGCAAGCCTCTGGATCTCTGTTCTTCACCGATTCAAGGAGGGAAAAGGGGAATGGATGGATGGGAAAAGAAGGATGAAAGACAGATTTGGAAGTTCGTTTGAATCGGGTTTGGATACGGGCCTGTTAGCTTGGTTCACTCCCCTTTTCCCCTTCCCCTTCCTAATCCCGTCCTTCCTTAGGTACCTTATCGGAGAATAGCGGTCGACGATGCCGGTGCCGGTGGTGGGATCGGAGGAGGAGGAGGAGGGGGAGGGGTCCAGGCCTTGGATATCGCGGGGTATGGTCGATTAGGTAGCCTTGAAATCCGCTCGATAATAGCGTACCGTATTTGACATGAACACTGACAACCCAGGCTCATGACAGATTCCAAACATCCGACAAGCCCACAATCTAGATCTAGGCTTTTCCTTTTGCTTCCTCCCCTCTCCCCATCTCTCCGCCCTCCGTCCCCTTTAGATTTGGCGCTACCGCTACGTTGTACTACGGTACTACGGTGCTGCCGCGAAAATAAGCGTCGGGCATCGTTCCGGGTCTTTGGGTCAGTTGAGGGTAGGTAGGTATGCTGGAAACCCTTCACGGAGGATCCCGAAAAAGGTGTCTGGGTCGGGAAACCAAAGTGGTGAAAGTGTGCCCGCTTTGATCCGGTTCGAGAGAAAGGAAGTCCAGGATCCGAAAAGTACGAGGGGTGTATGAGGCTTGACGAATTCGATCGAAATGCGGCTCACGATATTTGGACAAACCTCACCCGGTGTAGATACCCAGCCCACGAGCTGTCGTCGTATTTTGGGCATCTTTCTTTTCGCATCCATCCTGCTTACGTACATCTCCGAATCCGCCGTGTATCCAACGGTCTTGAGAATAGGTACCCTATATCGGCGTTTTTTTGGGGGGCGATGCACATAGAGGTGTCGTGACGCATAATGTGGTTACACGGGTACGGTACCTAGTGTGTCAATGACATCTGCGATAAAATTCGGCGGAATGGGCCAAAGTGAGGCGGATAAGTACGTAGTATCTACCAGAAATTCGCCGACAAGGTTTTTTCTCTCGATTCTTAGGGGTCCAAGAACATAGTGACGTCTGTAAAAGGTGCCATCTTGGACATTTGGTTGGGCGACAGCGAAAAGAAGAGAGTTTCAAACACACCTCCAAGTTGGCTGTTGGTTTGCCTTGGGTTGGTTGGGTTGGCGTGGGATGGAGGGGTCTTGCTTGCTCAACCACCTCCATTTTTTAGACACGTATGTTTGCCCTATCATGCAGTGAAATCCACGTCTCTCGTCCCTCTAGGTACTATTCGTCTGTGCCTCTAGACATTGTTATCACAAGCTTGGAGAGAAGGTGAGAAAAGAAAAACAAGGTCCAGGTCATTGCAGAATGCGCATCCTGGTGGATGATGGGGGGATTCAGGCTGCAATCGCAGTCAGGGAAAAATGTCGGTCAATGATCGGAATCTGGGATTGGAAGAGGAGGGGGAGGGGTGTGCGCCAGCGATGATCGTGCGCCGTTCAGATTTCCGCCGTGCTTTAGGATGTGCATGTGTGGCTGGGGTGGGGTGAAAAGGCAACGAAGAACGCATGTCAGGAAGCAGGATTCTTAGGCTCCGACCCCGCGAAGATGTTTCCCCTCCTCATCCAGAGTACTGTGCAGGTATTCATTCCTACTCCTTATTCGTATGAGTGGATGAGGGTTGTTTGCCAGGGGTCGTGATCGTGATCGTAAGAAAGGACCTAGGCGGCCCAGGCCTTCCTTGCCCCTGGCCTAGGCTACCTAGACATGCCTGGCCATGATACGGATACGTGGATGACAGTTGCAGGGTGTGCTCCGCTTCGTGTTCAGTGTTGGGCTCCAGTAAACTTGGGAAGACCGGAGCTTCAGCCCATGCCTGGCCGCTGGCCGGCGGTCGGGGTCGGCGTGGGTCTCTCAAGAGTCGAGGCCGGCTCGGAGGGGCTGGGGGAGTGTTCAACAATCGACACTAGATGAGTCACGAGGTCGGGGGGCGGCGGGCCAGGTTTTGCGGTCGGATGACTGGCAATATTGGATCAGTCTAACGGGCTCAGTCGACGGTTCCCACTGCAGTGCCCTCTGCCCGCCCAATCGGCTGGTTGTCAGCTGTCTCTTTGAGGTTTGAACAGTATTCACCAAGAAGCAAGTGTTCAGTGCGCCTGTCAGCTTTTGCCCAACGCCGGTGTGCGGCGGCGTGCGGCGGCGTGCCGTGAGCCTGTCGTGAGCCTGTCGCATACTGCGTACGCCTGGCCTAGGTGCGCGACAACCCGCCCCCGGATTCGTGGACACGGGCCGTGGCAAAGGGTCGCCTCACGCCAAGGTCAAATGACTTGCATCCCTGCCTCCCTGCTCGTCTGCTCCCCCATGAGCCATGGGCCATGCCCCGCGCGATCCCACTGGCACACTGCAGAACCATGGCCGCGTCGCGAGACCGAGGGCTCCGGCTGGGCGAACCGCGAAGTCACGGGGAAGCAAGTCTGCCTGCCGTCATCGACTGTGCCTGCACCTATCCGAACGAGTATCCATATGGATACCAAGGTTGATTCAATGTGGCCTGGGCCAACCGTTTGCTTTCCCCTCGTTATCTACCTTGCTGGTAGGTAGAGTTGTGTAGGTTTGTTAGTGATTCAATGTTTTTCTGAGTTGGTCCACATTGATGACTTGAAGGTGTTGGCAAACCTAACGGCCGTTGAGGAGTTGCAGCGCCGTGTCCTCAGCCCCAAGCTCTCACCCAGAAGCATGGGCTATTTGCCAAGACGCTCGCGAGCATTGTAGTTGCCGGTGGAGGTCTCGGCAAAAGGCAAATGGCGAAAAGACCAAAAAGCGTGTCAATCCTATTGTCCCTTTGGATATGCCAGGCCTTGGCTGAGTGGTGCTTGAAGTATCTGTATCCGTAGTCTTTGATGACGCTCATAGCGGAGCTCGCGGCTGACACGGCGATGCCAAGAAATGCCTTGAGCACCCAGTATCTGTATCGAGCCCAGCCCCACACGCATCGTGACTTTGAACTTCAATATTAGGTATGTCGATCGCCGCAAGCCCCACGCATCGTGACTTTGAACTTCAATATTAGGTATGTCGATCGCCGCATTATTGCCAATGGCAGGACCGCAATGCCAAGACCTGGAAGTTGGACATTTGATCTCTGAGGTGGCCGTAGACTTTGCAGCGTTATAAGCCCGCACTGCCCCACTGTCACAAAGATGCGCTGACATGGGGATTCAGCTGAGTTGTGTGCGCTTGTAATGGACGCGATGACGCTCCAAGCCCCTCTATAAGCCGGTAGAGGATTTAGCTCTGATGAATATGGATATGCTTGAGATTGCTTTCCGCATAGTGCACGCCAAAGGGGGTAAATGCAGTGTTGGTCGGTGTTCTCGCACTGGAAGCTTCTGACACAGCCTAAGCGGTTGGTCCGATGTCGACATAGCCTTGAGGCTCATCCCGCGTCTGTTCGCCGACCTCAAGAATGGGTACGGCAGCATGCTATCCGACGTTTTCTTGTCTCGACTTTCGCTGAATGATATTGCACGGCCGTAGAAATTGTTCCAGAATTCTTCGTTGGAGCACGTTGGAGCCCAGTGCAGTCTGCTCGGACGGTTGGCGGTGGCTGACTGGTCAGTTTTCGAAGGCGAAGCTTCGGCAGCATGGGGGCGCAGTGGTCATGGTGATTGGAGGAAGCGAGAGGCCGAGTTTGTCGCGACCGCTGGAATCCTTCTGCGGTATGATCAGCGAGCAAGAATAGAGGCACACATGTTTCCTGACAAGTGTATATTGAACGAAGTCGAAGAATCGGTTGGTGGAGGTTGCCCT